CTGCGCCCGATTCGGCCGCCGATGGGTTACCACCGGCGGTGCGGAGACAAGGGGTTGCCCCTGTCTCCGATTCGGCCGAGGATGGGTTAACCCCCTGGCCCGGACACAAGAGTTTACCCTTGCGCCCGATTCGGCCGCCGATGGGTTACCACTGGCGGCCCGGAGACAAGGGGTTACCCCTGTTCCAGATTCGGCCGCCGGCCCGGACACACGAGGTTACTCTTGCGCCCAGCCGCTGTCTCGTCGTCGTCGTCGTCGTCGTCGTCAGCTCATCCGTCGCCCTTGTGTCCTACGCTAATTCGGGCACGCGGGCCCATAACAGTAACAAATTCGCCGACGACCAGCTCATTCACTCACAGACAAGGCTCCCGCATCATATTTCCCAATTGTTCAGGCCCCAGGAGCCCAAAAATGACGACAGTTTCAAGATTCCAATGACCCGCTCGGATTAGTAACATGATTTGCGGCCCACATATGGAGGGGGCTCCCGCCTGAGACTTCCTCGCAGTTCACTCACAGAAGAGGCTCCCGCTTCATACTTCCCAACTATTCATGCCCCGGGAACCCCAAAGTGACGACAGTTACTAGGTTCCGAAGGCCCGCTCGGATTAGTAACATGAGCTGCGGGCCCCATAGGGAGGGGGCTCCCGCTTGGGTTTTGCTTGCAATTCACTCACAGGCGAGGCTCCCGCCTGACACTTCTCCCACATGCAAACCCCACGAGCCCCAAAGTGACGACAGTTACAGGGTTCCGATGACCCGCTCGGATAAGTAACATGATCTGCGGCCCCATAAGGAGGAGGATGCTACCGCCTGAGAGTTCCTCGCAAGTCACTCACAGACGTGGATCCCCCCTGTATTTTTCTTCCTTCAAGCCGCGGGAACCCAAAAGTGACGACAGTTTCAAGATTCCGATGACCCGCTCGGATTAGTGACGTGATCTGCGGGCCCCATCGGGAAGAGACTCCTGCCAGAGACTTCCTCTCGCCATTCACTCACAGACGAGGCTCCCGCTTGATACTTCTCCCATATGGAAGCCCCAGGAGCCCACAAGTGACGACAGTTACAGGGTTCCGATGGCCCGCTCGGATTAGTAACATGAGTTGCGGGCCCCATAGGGAGGGGGCTCCCGCTTGGGTTTTGCTTGCAATTCACTCACAGGCGAGGCTCCCGCCTGACACTTTCCCACATGCAAGCCCTACGAGCCCCAAAGTGACGACAGTTACAGGGTTCCGATGACCCGCTCGGATAAGTAACATGATCTGCGGCCCCATAAGGAGGAGGCTACCGCCTGAGAGTTCCTCGCGATTCACTCACAGACGTGGATCCCCCCTGTATTTTTCTTCCTTCAAGCCGCGGGAGCCCAAAAGTGACGACAGTTACAGGGTTCCGATGGCCCGCTCGGATTAGTAACATGAGCTGCGGGCCCCATAGGGAGGGGGCTCCCGCTTGGGTTTTGCTTGCAATTCACTCACAGGCGAGGCTCCCGCCTGATACCTTTCCCATATCCAGGCCTCAGGAGCCCAAAAGTGACGACGGTTACACTGCTTCGATGGCCCGTTTGGATAAATGGCATGAGTTGCGGACCCCATGGGGAGGAGGTTCCCGCCTGAGTCTTCCTCGCAATTCGCCCACAGACGAGGCTCCCGCCTGAGACTTCCGCTATACTCAAGCTTGAAGAGGCCGATGACCCGTCCGGATTACTCGCATGAGCTGCGGGCCCATAGGAAGGGGGCTCCCGTCCGAGAATTCCTCGCAATTCACTCACAGACGAAGCTCCCGCCTGAGATTAATGGGTGAGTGAGTGAGTGAGTGGGTGAGTGAGTGAGTGAGTGAGTGAAGATGATGCTGATGCTGATGCTGATGCTGATGCTGATGCTGATGCTGATGATGATGATGCTGATGCTGATGCTGCTGATGATGATGATGATGATGATGATGTCGATGATGTCGATGATGGATGATGGATGATAGATGATGGATGATGGATGATGGATGATGGATAATGGATGATGGATGATGATGATGATGATGATGATGATGATGATGATGATGATGATGATGATGATGATGGTTGTGATGGTGATGATGATGATGCTGCTGCTGATGAGAGTGTGAGTGAATGAGTGAGTCGGCGGGTAGGTGGGTGAGTGAGTGGGCGAATTCGTGAGTGAGTGAGTGATGATGATGATGATGATGATGATGATGATGATGATGATGATGATGATGATGATGAGTGTGTGTGTGTGTGTGTGAATGTGTGAGTGGGTGGGTGAGTGAGTGAGTGAATCTGTGTGTGAGTGGGTGAGTGAGTGGGTGAGTGAATGAGTGTGAGTGATGATGTGTGTGAGTGATTGAGGGAAGGGGTGTCTAGAGGAAACAAGAACCCCACTTTGGATGTGGGGAAAACGAGGACCAACATCACAGGATAGTTGGAAATAATCCAGCGATTGTCATCTGGGCCGGCTGTCAGCGGCCCTCTCGCATTGGTCGGCGCGTCCCTTTGTACGAGAATTGTCTGTGAAAAAAAGAATGCTGCGAGGCTTCGCCCGCGTGTCGTTGCGACCAGGGAAGTTCTAGG